AGGCTTTGACAATTCTTTCCACTACAGTGTCATGGAGACTTTCATGAAGCATTAACCTTCTGGTTGTGGTGCAGCGCTGGCCTGCTGTGCCTACAGAGGCGAACACAGCAGAGGGGACAACAAGATTCAGATCTGCATCCTCAAACACAATAATGGCGTTGTTCCCACCCAGCTCGAGAAGTTTGCGGCCGAATCGCTCTTGCACCATCATGGCCACGAGTTTGCCCACATGAGTGCTGCCAGTGAAGGACAACAGATCCACACGCTCATCCTTGGCCATAGCTGTGCCAATATCAGCGCCTCCACAGGTCATGGAGCAGATGGCACCTGGAAGATTGTTTTTCTCCAAAACTTCAGCAACAATCTTGGTAACTGCAACACTTGTGAGGGGTGTGGTGGGGGCTCCTTTCCAAAGGCAGACGTTGCCACAGGTCAGCGCAATGGCATTGTTCCATCCATAGACAGCGACAGGAAAGTTGAAGGCAGTGATGATGCCAACAAGACCTACTGGGTTCCACTGTTCAATTAAGGCATGTCCTGGTCTTTCTGAAGGCAGAATGGGGCCACCAATCATTCTAGACAGACCTACTGCATAATCACAGACATCTACATATTCTTGAACCTCACCCACACCTTCAACATAGATCTTGCCCATTTCCAGCGATACAAGACTGCCGAGAACATTAATTTTTTTTCTTAAAGCATCACCAATCTGCCTTACAATTTCCCCTCTTTTCGGTGCTGGAATATCTGCCCAGATCTTCCAGGCCTCTCTGGTCTTCTGAACAGTCTCTTCATACTCTGCCATTGTAGCCTGGGTGACTCTTGCGATTGGTTCATTGTTGGCAGGACAATATGATGTTACGACTTCCCCACTGCCACCCCAACTTCCATTGTACACTCCAGGGTTGTCTTCTGATAGGCCTAGCTCCTTCAGCCAGGAGTATTTCTTGTCATTTATCAGAAGTCCTGACATAGCTGCTGACTGCTTATAGTGGACAGATGCAAATTTGTTTCTGAGAAGAAGCCTGCTGTGACGGGCTATGGTCAGTGTGAGGCAGTGCTGCATGGGTGCTGGGGACAAACACAGTTAAACATTTATTTCACACAAGGAATATTACACAGTAGCAAATGAATAACCCTCCTCTGCACTGAATGCCTCTAACAGAATTGAGCTTCAAGGCAATTCAGTAACTTGCTCAACATTGTCCCTACTTTGCGCCTGCGCAATCCATGCCAAAAAGCACGAGGCTGCATAGTTGGTTCAAACCATGGATCTATTAAAATAACCTACAGCAAGGTCTGCATTAAACATTTATCAGTCAGTTGTAATAATGAAAACAACTGTTTGTGCGCTTAAGATGCGTGCGTGCACATCTGAACACTATTTGAACGAATGTACACTCTGTTTATTTTCCAACACGCTCTTGCAGTGCAAACACGCACACATTACAGCAGTTGATCGATGGCTGCGACTAGTCTTAAGTCTACTTTTCAAGGTCCTTCAGTTTAAACGTGTGTAATTTAGTTGTACTGACTTTGACAGCCAATTGCGCAATACGCATCGTCGCAAAACCACCTCGAGTCAATATTGACAGAGTTGATGGAACAAAATTAAATGCCAAGCCTCACTTACATTGATATCAAGTCCACAGGCCACGTCCACTTGGATCAGGAAAAGGAGTGGGCTCGTCACGGGTGAAGCGGAAGTGTAGCGGTGTTGCTGCTCTCTGATTGGACACCTCTCCAGACACACGGTGGCGCCTGCTTTGTCCAAATATCCATGCTAACAAGATCCTTTGTTGTGATTTGCCCGTGACTGCTATTTTGTTTCTTCAACTCTTTTAAGAAGATACTAACTTGTTAAAACAGGACGATGAGTGGTGGTGTATACGGTGGCGGTGAGTAAAATGCGTTACATTTCTCCGATGATTGCCCACGCTGTTTCTTTAGCATTAGCGGGCTAACATGGCACAGTTAGCTACAATCGTCAATAAAGATGTTCTAAATGCACATTATAGCTGTCACTTTAACTGTACTGCAATCACCGACCAGACTCTTATTCTTCATTTCCATAAAATGCCCATGTATTATGCTAAACTTTCTTCAGATATCCACCTTAAGCACTTGTTCACAATAACACCAGAATGAATGGAGGCACCGCTATTGTTGTGCCTTTAAGTATTTGTATTTTGGGAATAATTTATTTGGGAATTAATTCAAACTATACTGTAATATATAAAAAACAAAAACGCAAAAAGTGAAGCTCATATTTGATACTATTTATTTAAGTTACTTCTTTTATAACACTCCTGATAAAAGCAGTAATCAGTATCAGAGCTAGCTTCTTTTTTTTTTTTTTTTTTTTTTTTTTTGGTGTTGATATAAAGATATAAAGATAATTACATGGCCACCCCTGTCTTATTTCTGTAGATGAAGTAGGAGCTTTGGTGTTCGACATAGGTTCGTATTCTGTTCGAGCTGGCTATGCAGGAGAAGATTGTCCCAAGGTAAAGTACTTTCTCAAGTGATCTTTTTATTGGATGTCATAAAAGGAGAGCAATATTGCTACACTGTTGCAAAATTAAGTTGCATAGGTGATGTTGTTTTGATTTAATTGTTAATTTATTTTTATGACATAGGCGGATTTCCCCACTGTGATTGGGGTGACGCTGGACAGGGAAGATGGCAGCACACCGATGGAGACTGATGGTGACAAGGGGAAGCAGAGTGGCACCACTTACTACATTGACACAAACCAATTGCGGGTACCTAGAGAGAATATGGAGGTCATGTCGCCATTAAAGAATGGAATGAGTATGTATATCACTTAAAATTAAACAACCAGAAATTGTGTATAATAAAAGATTAAAATTCATCTTGATGAGTTTAAAGCTCAGTGTGTGGCTTATGCATTCATAACACTCTGAAGTAGCTGACCTATTTAATAAGTCTCCTCAGGACTGGTCTGGTTGAGGCTGCTAGGAATGCTATTTTGAGAAAAGTATTACACCATCCCTAATTGAAGTGGAGTAACACAATTGGAACACAGAGATCCTAAGAGGCAAGACCTGGAACAGAAGTGCTCCTTTCAAATTATTATTTTAAAATAGCTTATTATTGCTCTATTTTCTGACCCAACTCTGATAAAATCTGCTCATTATTTATGCATGTCAAAGGCAGACCTAGATACCCTGAACAAATTGTTTTTCATTCATAAACTAAAATTAAACATGTAAATAAAAGCAATTACACTTTTAAGTAGTAAAGTAACAATTACTATCATACTGTATTATTGCACTGTCAAAACAGGGCTAGGCTAAAATTATAATTTCCTCATATTAAACAATCAAGTAAGTCAGAACTCTGCGCCATACCTGATGCATTTACTGATGGAGGATTTATGTATATCATGATGATTAGAAATTACACACTGACAGACCTATCTGAAAAAATATCTTTTTATCCATTTCAGAACATCCTTGAATTAATGAGGGAGAAACATTGAAATCATAATAAGATAATTTTTAAAATCATTGTTTTGCCTCTTTTGTATCCAGTTGAAGACTGGGACAGCTTTCAGGCCATCCTGGATCATACTTACAAAATGCACTTCAAATCTGAACCAAGCATGCACCCAGTGCTCATGTCGGAGGCATCAGTGAGTAATGTGTTAATGTTCAATGTTTAATAGGGGCTCTTGCAGCTTTAACATTTTATGAATAATGTAATTTTGATTGTACTTTTTTCCTAGTGGAACACACGAGCCAAGAGAGAAAAATTAACAGAGCTGATGTTTGAGCATTATAACATTCCTGCCTTCTTTCTGCAAATCAGCGGTTTTGTCAGCGTATCCTTTACATAAAACATTGATAAAATGATTATTTTGACCTAGACTTTCATCATTTTATTATTTTCTATGTAATCTTTCCTATATTCAACAAAATAGCTTTGCAAATGGTCGATCAACAGGCTTAGTTTTAGACAGTGGAGCCACACACACCACAGCAATCCCAGTACATGATGGCTATGTCTTACAACAAGGTAAATGCATTAACAGCAATCAAGAAAGCGTGCATATACAATTTAAATATCAGTTAAAACATTTTGCCTTCTCTTACAGGAATTGTAAAATCACCCCTTGCTGGAGATTTTATGAGCATGCAGTGTCGAGAACTATTTCAGGAATTAAATGTTGAAATAATTCCTCCTTACATGATTTCATCCAAGGTGTGACTTGATTCATTTTCTAGATTCTGCTTTTTAGTGTTGTAATATTTACACATTGGAACTTGGAGAAAATCTGTAACCATGTGCATTTTCATTAATCATAGGAAGCTGTTCGGGAAGGTGCCCCAGCCAATTGGAAGAAGAAGGAGAAGCTACCTCAAGTCAGTCGTTCATGGCACAACTACATGTGCAATGTAAGTAGAAACCTTTCATTAGCTTTTCCACTTGGTTAGAAAAACAACCTATAGTATTGTTGTTTTATACATTACAATTGAAATTAATAATTATTCCTCTCCATTATTTGCAGTGTGTCATCCAAGACTTCCAGGCTTCTGTATTGCAAGTTTCAGATTCCCCATATGATGAGCAGTAAGCAAATTATTCATTATACTTTAAAAACTGATATAATGGATATTAAGAAAAAAAATCACAAAACAGGACAAGATTTGACCCATCCTGAATAGTTTTAAGAATGGTCTTGCTCTATATTAGAACTAATATAAAAGCACAAGGTAATAAAAAAGAAACTTAAATTATTTTAGTTGAACATGACACTTAGTTGTAAAATGTGTTATTGTGGTATAATATAGCTATTGAAACTTAACTATTTTGTTGCGTTCAGACAAATCTATACAGTATGATTATATGATGAGAAGATGTACAAGTAGGGCTGAAACAAGTTGATCATTTAATTGCAACTAATCAATCCTTTAGATAATTGTCAACTAACTAAGTACCCTAATAATTATTATCTATGAAAAGAGGTTTTATAACTCAAAACAGGAATTTCTAAATGACACAGGAATCATGTTGGGGGAAAAAATGTCCTAAAGCGGCATCACTTCAACTGTAATTGGATCAAATTTACTGAAAATCTTTCATGGGCCTTTTACAACTCAACAGCTAATCAGATGAGAGAATAATCTAGTATTAGCAAAAAATAATGCTTAGTGGCTGATTCCCTGTCTTTTCTGTTAGGGTTGCTGCCCAGATGCCAACTGTGCACTATGAGCTCCCAAATGGCTATAACTGTGACTTTGGAGCAGAGAGGCTAAAGATCCCTGAAGGGCTTTTTGACCCTTCAAATGCAAAGGTGTGTGCCAAGATTCTCATTGTTTCCTAGTTTTATCTTTATTTAATTTTTTTTACTCACATCTTAAAATCTTTAATATTTCAGGGATTGTCTGGAAATACAATGTTAGGTGTGGGTCATGTTGTAACAACCAGTGTAGGAATGTGTGATATCGACATTCGGCCGGTAAGGTTAAATACAACATTTATCTTTCTTCCACTACATTGCTTTTTGCAAGATGCAAGATTTACATGCTAAATGCTGTGTTTTAGGGTTTGTATGGCAGTGTGGTTGTGACAGGAGGTAACACTCTAATCCAAGGCTTCACAGACAGACTAAACAGAGAACTCTCCCAGAAAACTCCCCCTGTAAGTATTCTGTAATCTGTCTCATTCATCATTTACCTGTACATGACTCTGAGATTAATGTTGTCTTTTGCTGTGCTTTGCAGAGCATGAGACTGAAGCTGATAGCCAATAACACTACAGTTGAACGTCGTTTCAGTGCCTGGATTGGAGGCTCAATTTTGGCATCACTTGTAAGACATTATAGAAGCATCAGTGCTATTATATAAACTCACTGTATACTCACTCACTTGTACAAACTAACTTTATTGTGGAAATGTTCTTTTACCTGTGTTAGGGGACCTTCCAGCAGATGTGGATATCCAAGCAAGAGTACGAGGAGGGAGGAAAGCAGTGTGTGGACAGAAAATGCCCTTGATTTTTTTCCAGTTGGAACTCGCCACATAGTCATCTTGTCACCATGATTTTTTTTTTTTCTGATCCAGGTCACTGGGTAGATACATTTTTGTATGTGAACATGATTGCATCAGACAAAGACTCTAGTATAGTCTGACAATTTTAAGATTGTAGGCTGGTGGACTTTTTCCTGAATACACATTTCTCTCATTTGAACAAAAGTACACAACCAAAAGTATTCATTTCATGTTTTATGAAACTACACAATAGTTTCCCAATGGTTGTGGATGTTCACAGCCAAAGTATGCTTCCCCAGTGCTCATATACATGTATTTAATTTACTTGTTGCCATCCACATTGCATATTTTAATAAAATATAATATTTAGTAAAGGCTACACTTCTTTATTGTGTGTCATCTGAAACCTAGCAGTATTAAATTACCTGATTATATTTATAATGCAAATGCAGGAAGGTAAAAATGTTTTGCAAAATTAAATTAAATTTAAAATTAAATAATAAAAAAATAACACTGGGAAAACTTACCACAATGAAATTTTATTTGTAATTAACTTTATTTAGCATAGTTTATAAACAGCAACAACTTTCAAAAATGTAGTTTCTCAAGTTTTGTGTAGAGATGTGTTTCTTGAAAGGTTACACATTTCAGGATGCAGACACCTTCATTTGGGGAAACTTCTCTCTGAGTTTTTCACGAGTTTGTTTCTGCAATGTTTTCTTCCTAGCTCGTTCTCGCATGTGCTTCTCTATACGTAACCTGCAAGAATAGTACTTATAGGATTAGTATTTGAATTAATGGTGAACAAATACTAAAATATTCTTTCTTACCTTATATGGGGCTCAACAAAATTTGGAGTGTAGAACTGCTTTCTCTTATAACGCTTATTCATGTACCATGGTATAGCATATTCTTTGAAACGGTACCTGAAAAATAGAGCATAGACTTTCACAGTTTTAGAAGTGTGAGTAATGCATTACTTTAGGCTGCAAGCATGACATATTTCTACCAGTAGACATATCCAAATTTGTTCTTTCTCCAGTCTCCTGGTCTACCCTTCTCTTGTCCCGTTTGTAGCAGCCGCAATGCAGTCTCTCGTTCATTTACTACAGTCTCCAGTCTTATCATGGATCGTTCAACCTGCCACAAAAACAAATTGTAAAATTTTAAAGGCAATTGTGATTTGTCAAAAAATATTTCAACCTCTACATTAAATACAAACCTTTCGTATTCTCTCTGGACTTGGCATTTGAAGCCGTTGTCTTTTAGCTTCCTGCTCAAGTGTCAGCAGCATGTTCTTTTCTTTAAGGAGCACATACCTGAGACAAAATGTATATATATGCCAATTGCAAAGTTAAATGTAAAAACACCTTTTCAATGAAGCTTACCAGAGTTTGTGTAAATCTTCATTGCTCTTTGTCCTAAGCTGTTTAGCTGTCCATGGTGCACCTGTAGAAATCAGCAACACAGTAAACATAAATGCTGTCTGAAAAAACACTGTTGAGTACGTCCCAAAGTTGTACGGAACCTGATTTGACTGTAGTTTCACCCCTATTCTCCGGAAAGTCAAAGAATTCATCCAGTCCTCTCCTACTGATGGATGTGTGCAGGGCCCGACAGTGCTGAACAGAGCTGGCAGAAAGGGATAAAGGAGAAGCCAGGGAAGGTATTCCTCTAATGACAGAGTAACACAATACAATATAAAACAAAGCTAAACTGCAGACTATTATGGTAAACATTTAGCTTAATGACATGTGCAACTTCCAGACACACTGACTGAATAGATATTAAAATAAATTAAAAAGCATACCCGTGAAGACCAAGGTAGCATTTGTTAAAAGAAATCGTTGAATGCTGTGGTTTAGTCACTGAAGTTACCTTCAAGACATTTTGAAAATTTCTACATAAAGTGAAAATTCGTCCCGCAGACGAGGACGTCGCCATTTTTACTGTGAGCCCTCCCCACATTACCCAGCATGCACTACTCACACTCAATATTTAATAAAAGATTAAAAATGTTATGTCTTTTGAAAAGCTGATACACTGCAACTGAAAACAAAAAAATCCACAGAAGTAATAAAATCTCTTTTCTTTTTATCACACCTTTTTCCATCTCAGTCCCAGTCAATGATAATAGCCAATCACAGGTCTTGTTATTGGGCTGTGTTTCTCAGCAGAGATGGTGGGCATGAGTGTTCTCCGGTCTGCTGCTGCGATTGCAGCCAGACTGAGCCCTCTGAAATCTGGAAATAATGCCGCTAATTTGCTAACTCGAACAGTCGCAAGAACAGATAAAGGTGGGGTACATTTTGATTGTTGGTTTTGTATTATGTAGCATTACAAACGAGGCCGTCCCTTCATGACCTTGTAACATTCTATTAGCGTGCTAACAACACTGCTATGCTACTGTCAACAAAATCAAGTGCATCTTTATTTATGTTGATCCAGCCCAGTACCTACCCCCTTTGAAATATTTCAATACAACAAAGATATACTGATATGCGTGCATATATTATACCAATGTTAATTTAAAAATTTCTTCTCAGTGGCGGTACGTTGGGGTCATGGAAAGAAAATGTTTGTAGTCAAGCCTTCCGACTTTTATGACCGAAGATTTCTGCGCCTTTTGGTGAGAACCGAATATTTAGTTTCAATAACATGTCCTAACCACTTTATAACTACTCGGCGAATGATTTTCTAACTTTTTTTTTTTTGCTTTCAGCAATATTATGTCCTGTTGACTGGCATCCCTGTGGCTGTGTTTGTCACATGTGTGAATGTTTTTGTTGGTAAGTTTTAAGTTTTGTTATATTTTCCCTGGTCGCCACCATTTGTTATTTATGTCTTGTCTATGTTTTCTCTGTGTAGGCGAAGCAGAACTGGCTGAGATTCCTGAAGGTTATGAACCTGAACACTGGGAGTACTACAAGGTGAGGCTACATTACCATTATCCATTCTGTGATCAATGATACTCTGTGATTGTCTGTCTAAAATTGTTACTTAAAAAAAACAATACTCTGCACAGACTGCATCCCTAGAATTATTATCCCTGACCTCGTCTGTGTGTATAAGGTGATGTAGAGGTTGCTTGAGCTGTTGTTATTGTTTTGTTATGTTTGTTCTAAATATCAATTTTAAATGTCTGAGTGCCCTAAGACAGAGACTGCAGATGATGCAGTATATATCTTTTTTTTATGTTTCTGGATAGTACCTGATCTAATTATTTTGTCTCTCCACAGCACCCCATCACCAGGTGGATTGCACGGACATTGTATGACTCTCCTGTAAAAGACTATGAGAAGATGATGGCTGCAATTCAGATGGAGAAAGAAAAAGCTGATATCAGGTGAGAATTGTCCTTGAATTGGATAATGTCGTCAGAAAGTGCTTTATTTGTTCAGTCATTTTAAATGTGTGTTGTTTTTTTCTTCTAGATTGATGGAGTTAGAAGTTCGACGACAGATGAGGCAAAAGGGGGATGGCCCATGGTTCCATTTGCCAACTCCAAATAAGGATCTTATTGACAACAGCCACAAAGCCAGTCCTGACAGTTAATTACATGATGCTGGTGTGTGACCACAACATGTTCACTGTTGTATAGTTTTTCTTCTCTTGCATAATTAAAATATCTGTATGTGCTTAATTTATCATTGTATCTTTGTATTCTTGAATCAAAAACACAGATTGGTAAAGAGCAATACCTGATGCTGGAGCTCTCTCCTACTATGACACATGTGGCACAACATATTATATATTTAGTTTGGGCAGTTCCCCCCCATTTGCTTTCATTCATAGAATCAACAAGTCAAAGTGATCAAAATGGTTTGCAATATGTGTTTAGGCCACTTGATGGCGCAGCTGTGCAGTGTAGCTGGACAAAGGATTGCAATAAAAAATCAAATAATGCTGGAATTGGTTGTGTGCACAATGTGGTAACAGTTAAACGTACTAATAAGAATCACATTGGTTCATTATAATGAGTATTTTTACTGATGTAACAATCCTTGCACATATCATGGCAGCGTTAATCAGAATAATTTTGTTTTATAATTACTGAAAAATGCTATACACACGTGTGAAATTATTATTTTTTATTTCATACTAAATTTGTTACCTCAAATCACAAGCTTGAGAACGCTAGAGTCACCAAAACCTAAGTGGGCGTGTCCCGTGTGATAAAATATTCCAGAGCGCGTCATTACGGTGAGGCGAGCAATGCGCAGGTCAAATGATTTTACAGGAAAAAAAAAACAAAAGATCAAAATTAGCTTAGCATTACAGCTAGTAGCACTGCTTTCTCTCCGCCCCATCGTCATTTATTTTTATGTTTTTAGCGTCACATCCCCCTGGCTGGAGGAATGTAGAGAGACTGACTGCTTTAAAAATAGCATCCTCTCCTCTGTCAGCGCTGCTCCGGTGGCTGGCTGCACTGTGGTGGGAGAAGCAGGAATGCGAAGATGGCTACAGATCTAGGAGAGCTTCTTGTCCCGTATATGCCCACTATCAGGGTCCCCAAAACTGGAGACAGGGTTTTCAAGAGCGAGTGTGCCTTTTCCTTCGACTCTCCCGTAAGTCGCGTGTGTGTTGACTGTGGTAGCGGAGCGAGAGCGTGTTGTTTACGGGCTGTAGGGTGCGCGCGCCTGGGGTCCGCCTGCCTAACAGTCTGATCTGGCCAGGTTGAACAAAACACGTGAATACGGCTGTAGTTTGTGTCACAAAAGAGATGGTTAAACACGTCCAATAGCCAATGCATATGAACCTGAAGGTAAAATAATGTAATAAATGTAATCTCCAATACATCACTTAAAAAAAAATCCTTTATTGCTAGGATATGATGTGGGAGAGCCATATAGTTCTTTGACTGTGCATTGTGGTCCTTCTGTCATGTTGTCTATGTATAAAATTAGACTTATTATTTAGTTTTTTAATACTGATGATGAGAAAAATCCACTTGCTTAGACTGATTTAATTTGTCTCTGCATCCTAATTGACCATTATCCAACGTTGTCATGGCAACAAATTAGCTAATTAAAAAGATTTCCCCCAGGACGTTTTCTTTGGGGAAAAAGTCCTTTAAACTGTGAATCCTAAAGTTGTTCACAAATTTGTTTGATATTGTTTATCAAGGCTGCAGGGGCTGTTGGCTAACTGGTTCATACACACCTGCTCCAAGTCTTTATCAGCTCTGTCATTATTAACAGCTGCTGTTTGTGACTTTACTGTATCTTCTGTTTTTTCTAATATTTGAATGGGCCTTAACCCTTAACTCAATCAATTCAGATTTATCCTAGTCCAAAGATGCTGCTATAATGTAGGTTTAAAGTGCTCAGTAGTGTGTAATCTTGTAAATTTGTTACTTTTTCGTTATTATGTCCAGGCAGGAAAGAGGTTTTTTTATTGGGCCACCTTATTAAAATGTTTCCTAAACCAGCTGAAATTTAAAGCAAATTTCTTCACACAAACTGTTTTAAAGGTGACTCAGCTGTCTGGAGTTCATCATGCCGGCCTGAGGACTGGCTTATTTTTATCTTTGCACTGTTGAAGCTCATATGTCACTTTTGGCCACTTAAAAGTTATCACGTGGCTTCATGGAGTTTATATGACCTATATACTAAATGGGCATTTAGGTTATTTTTTTAAAAGCATTGTTGGTGTATATTGAAAGGGAAACAGTGATATCGCAGTTTCCACAAGGCACACCTCCTTTTGTTCTTAAATTTTGATTGGTGCAACACTTAAATTAGGGCCCTACTTTTTTGATTTTGTTTTTTGTATTGCCTGTCAGATTATATACAAACCTTACATCTTGAATTTTGAACTACTTGACAAGTAGGCCTATTTCTACAGCAACTCTGCCAATTTCTGCCAATTATTTAAAAAATAAATGAGCAAACCATTTGGATTTAACACTTAGGCCTAATTGATATTGTATGCTTGATTTACTACCTTCAATATTGTCTTGAACTGCATTTTTAATAACTATTAAGTAGCTTGGTATGGGAAATTATCTCTTAAGATAAAATAGCCATGAAAGCCTTGAATGATCCCCTAAGATGTTTTCCATGTTTTGAACTTGACAAACAAACAAAAAAGCTTTTTAAAAAGCAGTGTTAAAATTAAGACCAAGACCTAAATAAATTTAAACGGGGTGGTCAAAATCACGAACTGTCTATCTCTATTTACTTAAAATGTTCCTTTGTTCCATTTCTGTCTCGTCTCGATCTTGTGGAGCTCATTTTGTGAAGAATTTCACAGGTGCTGATGGTGCTTTGAGTTGATTGTTGTTGTTGTTGTTTTGAGGGCAGGAGTCTGAGGGCGGTCTCTATGTGTGCATGAACACATTCCTGGGCTTTGGACGAGAGCATGTGGAGAGGCATTATCGCAAAACAGGACAGAGTGTGTACATGCACCTCAAGAGACACGTCAAAGAAGTGAGTGCTTTCTTTACTTCCTTGAACTCCTACTTCCGTCACCCCCCTTTGTGTCAGCATGTAATTAATGAGGAGTTAATGTAAACCCCTGTAGGGCTGAGCAATTTGTGTTAAAAAAAGAGACGATCAGCAATTAAAATAATTTATTCAGCCATGTATGTTAAACATTTGTTTTTCTTTATCATGGAACTGCAGGTATTGACTATATAAGTCATGTCTGCGTTCAGCCTTTATTTGATTTGACCCATTGACTGTACGAACTTTGTTTTCTCCAAAACAAAGTGAAATTTTCACTTTGAACAAATTGAAAATTGAAATTTTGAAATAAGTGAAATTTCTGAAAGGCCCCCTCAAATTTAGCATCTTATTTTGGGGACACATTGATTGATTTTTTTTTTTTATAAGTAAAGAATTATTTTTGGTGTCTGGGAGAGATAAATAGGACACATGTATCAAAAATTCTATTCACATTAATTCAGAGAAAGTAGGAGCAGTATATGACCTAACAGTCCTATAGTGCTGCTGCTATTTCCATGACTTGATCTGCTCAGAAACAGCTGCTGACTTCTGCAGTCTCCTGTGTCCACCTCCGTTTACCCAGAGGTCCCCTCAGTCCCCTATGTGTCAGCATTCTCTTTAGTTCTCTCAGTGTCAACTTCAAGTCACTTTAAGATTAAAAAAACAGAACCTTCTCATAATTAATTGGTACAAGGAAAAATGTTATGCTATCATGTGTGTTTCAATTATCACTGACAAGTCATGTGTGTTAGAAATCAATTTACATCAACATGACTGTAAACAGTCTGCCATTGCAAACAGCATTTCATTAGCATCGTCTTATGGTAGGGATTTCCCCACCGTCTTGTAATCTGACCTGTAACCTGACAAATCATGACATTCATTTTCACATGTTTTAACCTCTTTGATTTATCAATTTATTTAAGTAGTTAAGTGTGTGATATTAATATATAAATATTCCTACTCTTCCTTTTTTATCCTTAGAAAGCCACAGGAGCTGCTGGTGGTGCCATTCCTAGAAGAAGAAATGGAAAAGTCTTTCTAGGTAGGTTAAGTGTGGTTAAGATACAGTTGAATGTTATGTGGCTACTCTTAATGTTTACTAGACAATTGTTACCCACCAGTTGTTCCAGTCTTTACCCGAAGTGCCAGATATTTCCCATGACGAGACCTCTTCACCTCTTGTGCTCTAAATTTAGCCCATTTATTTGTATGTGTGGTTGGTAACTGTTCTAAATCAAACTATGCTCTGGTGTTTGGAGCAGAGGGGGGTGCCTACTGTCAGTGGTCTGGTCTCACAGCTGCCGCCTCCTGTCAAGGGCCATGACGGGCTGACACACTTCCATTGAGCTCTGACACTGTGGGCATGCCAGGTGTCCATCTTTGAAGGCCATATTTTATATGTTAAAATCTTGATTCATTTATGTGAGAGTTGTTTAGTTTATTACAAAATACAAACATTCAGCACAGTTAAGAAAGTATATCTTGTAAATGGGACACCCCTTAAGAAGTCCTTAGTTTGTAATTGGGGCTTGTAGCTTTTGTTGATACAGATAATACATGTTACTCTAACCTACCTATCTAATCCATTTCCTTTTCTAATGTACACACAACATAATGCCTTTATAAATTGGGCTTATTAAGCATAACTAAAGAGTTTATAATTTAGAAGCCATCAGCTTTGCAAGGTTTTGGTTCATTGTATTTTCTCCAGTTTCAGTTTCCCTTGAACAAAGATGAGAAATGCTTGTGCCAAGTCTGTCTGCCTTTACATGCCACACTAAAACTAGTACATTCAATTTCATGTTTTCCATTTACATTTTATTATTATTAATTTTATATATATTTTTTACTGCATAGATATATTTTATTAAGTTGAGTTTTAGTCCCTAATAACTTAAACAACTCATATTTTAAATCTGGTATAGTTCTTTCTTAACTTATCTTTCTTATGATCTATGATATGATGGCATGTATGTTTCATTTATGTACATGTCCATAAAAGCCTCTGATCTCGAGTGCTTACATTATGTGTCACTTCAAAACAAAGGGACATAAAAACACTGTGTCAAAGATAGTACATGATGATCTGCATTTCATGAGTCATTACACAACTTTAGGCTGGGGATAGCACTAGCAGTTGCTGTGCGCCCAGGTTCATTTGTTAAACATATGGGTTTTTAAAAACTTGGAAATTTGGGCCATTGACTAACATTTATTACTTACTTACTAAACTTTTTGGGGATTGTAAAGTTTTATATGGACCACTGCAGAAAGGACATTGGAGTGAGTTAGTTTTGGATTGGGGAGTGAGTTGTGAGTTCAGTCTGCTATTTTAATAAATAAGTGTAAAAAAAAAAAAAGTGTGTGATCATATTGCCTTTTCTGTATACTTTACGACAAATAGCTGGTCAGATCATAGACTCTTTATACTTTTGAGGTCTTTTGTAAGCATAATCCATACTTCACTTTTAGCCCACTAAAATAAATTTTTTTTCAAAATTTAGAAATTTTAGTCAATGTCATGTTGCGCTACTCTTTTTATTCATTAATCATTTAAATAATTCACACTCTTAAATACAGGAATAGTGTGTAGATTAAAAAATAAATGTTGGACAACTATAACGTGCTGTTGCAATCAGTGTAAAATATATTTCTATTTCTGTCCCTAGCAATCATGTGGTCAGTATCAACACATAATGAATATATAACTAACAAATAAGGAAAGGTAATCCTCAATGACAGGTCACCGGGAAACATCAGCTGGGTTTTTCCATCTGACTGTGTGTGTTTCCTCTCCCAGATTTAGAACTAAACCGTGATTTTAACGGGGAAGACTATGAATATGAAGACGAGGCCAAACTTGTCATTTTCCCAGACCACTTCGAAATCCCTTTACCAAATATTGAGGAGTTGCCTGCTCTGGTCAGTGAGTTGGTGACGTGCGAATTGTGTGTTTATTTGCATGACAATAATACAAACGCTTTATATTTTAATGAAGAAAAAGTTTGATCTCCACTGTTTTGTATTCAGCTTCCTGCATGTTTTTGGCATGCGCTGTTTGAAACCATCTATGAAATGCTACAAACATGATATTGTATAATTTTGTATGTTGCATTTTTGTCAGCCGTTAACCATGTTTTGCTTTTATGGTTCATTCTGTAACCTTAGTGGTGAAAGGTCCTCCCTCTCTGTGGAGATGTTATGACTTTGCCTGGAATGTTCCTCATTATGGATTAAATGGATCAAGTCAAATTATAGGTCAGCTCTGTGGAGCAGTGACCCTGTTGATAGAGTGCATGTTTTCAAACTGTTTATGAGCAATGCATGAAGGAAATGTGAGACCATTTTAAGGAAAATAGTGCACACCTCACTAAAAAAGTGATATAGTGCACGTTTACCTTTTTAGTATTTTTGTATATGTCAACTCAAAATCCACCTTGAGCTAAAATCAAAGATGTCTGTGTTTTGTGTGTATAGGTAACAATTGCATGTGATGCAGTGCTCAATGCACCATCACCTTACAAGAAACAGGAGCCTGAGTCCTGGGAGGAGGATATCCAAGTGTCTAGACATGCCAGAAGTCTCAGACAGCTGGACAATGGGGTGAAAATCCCACCAAGGTAAGTTTAATTATACTGTACAGTTACAACACTTGTATTACAAAAACAGCTCATCTTATGTTTTTGCTTGTAGTGGGTGGAAATGTCAGAGGTGTGAGATGAGAGAAAACCTGTGGCTGAACCTCACAGATGGAGCCATTCTCTGTGGAAAGTGGTTCTTTGATGGCAGTGGGGGGAATGGACATGCTCTGGACCACTACAAACAGACCAATCACCCACTGGCGGTCAAACTCGACACCATTACCCCTGATGGAGCAGGTATGATCACTGTGCATTTTTAAAGATCTGTGAATAATCAGTATATCTAGGCATATCACAAAACATGTTGAAATGTGATATATTTTTTATAGAAAGTATTGCAATAAAGGGAAATATTTAAGACAATTTTAGAAGGATAGCAAACTTCTTTGAACAATAGTGTAAAGAAATATATTATCTATAATAATAAAATGGCCAAATGAAAAACACTAGAAGATAGTTTGTATAAAAAACAGTCAAATGTAAAATTGTTCTACTTTCTGCAACTCAAATTTAAAGAAAGAAAATGTAATTCACTAGCGACAATAAATATCTAGTCCAAAATAATGTGTATTTTGTTTTAACTGAATGTTAGTGTAGTTATTGTCAGTGTGGTAATTATTGTGACAAACCTAAGGATATCAAGTATTATTAATTATACCAAATAACTGTTGTTGTCCCTTGGCTACCTGTGGTTAGATGTCTATTCATTTGAAGAGGAGGAAGCTGTGCTGGATCCACACATATCAGAACATTTATCACATTTTGGGATAGACATGCTTCAAATGCAGCAAAGGGTAAGTTAATTTGATTTCAGCTTTATAATGTATCTCAAACCATAGTATAATTAGGACACTTTTTGTTCTTATTTGCTTTTACAGACAGAAAATGGGCACCACACAGACAACAATGCAAGACCACGGGTGAGTGAATGGGAGGTGATCCAGGAGTCGGGCATGAAGTTAAAGGCGGTCTATGGCCCCGGCTACACGGGCATCAAAAACCTGGGCAACAGCTGCTATATGGGCACAGTGCTACAGGTCCTCTTCAGCATCCCAGATTTCCAGAGAATGTAAGTGTTGTTTTCAACAAAATGCAGTAGTCTGTGTTGGGACGTTACTGAATACTTGTACTGTACTGAAAATATATATTCAGACTACTCATTTTGAGTAATTATTCTAGTACAGTTACTTTTTAGTATTCAGAATACAGTTGATATTCTAAAATCAAAATAATACATGGAGTTACTTAATCACACAATTTAGGCTTCAAACTGTACAGAATTAGTGAGAAAAATATGTAACATGAGCTTTGTGTTGCATTTTTTGTATGACAAGCACTCTATAAATGAAGTTTGATTGATTGATTGAACATCTTTACACTATAATTTAAATGTTTGCCCTAAAGTATTCAGAATACAGTACTCTGATTTGCCCATATATCAGAATACATTAAAAAGTACATTTTAATGCGTATTAAAATATATATAGGTATTCAGTATTTTGTAAGTAAATACATTTTCAAAGTAGCCTTCCCATCACTGACAGTAGTTAATAACACTACTACCTAACTGACAAAGGATTAAGATGGCTTGTTTATGTTAATCTGGCCTTGTGTGGCAGCTTCAGTGCGGTTCCTCTTTGACCATGGCTTGTATTTTGATCTTTAGGTATGTGGGAAATCTTCAGAGGATATTTGACTATTCACCTCTTGACCCCACACAGGACTTTGCCACACAAATGTAAGTGATTCCAGTGTTACATAAGGCTGTGTTGTAATCCACTTTTAGTTTTAAAACATGTTTCATGATTTTATGACTGGCAATAGAAAATGACAGGTAAAACTAAAAAAAAACAAAATTATTTAATAATATTAACACATTTTTTGCCACATTTTTGTGCAAAGGTCACTTTCCAATCACACTTTCTTCACATTGCATCAAAAGGGTGTCAATAATGTACACAGAGAGGGGCATCTTTTATTAAAGGGCACATATTACGCTAGGTTATGATCTATGTTATAATGTTGTTTCCCCATCAAAACATACCTGGAGTTGTGTTTTGTTTCATTCACACGTTTACCAGACAAACCCTTCATATTTAGGCTGAGTTCTTCTTTCACATGGAAAACACTCAACACTTGTGATTTCATGTGGAAATACAGGAAGTGCTTGATTGTGTTTTTAAACTCCATACCTTCATTAGAACCATTAGAATCATTTGAATCATTTCAGCCTTGGAGTTGCTGATCTCTACTGAACTAAAGGTAAAAGGAACTTGAAAATTACCAGTTCATGACATGACAAGATGGAATAGCTTTTGAGCTTTGGAGGTGTAGACAGACTAATTGTGAAGGGTTATGCAAACATGTATGAATGAAACAAAACAAAACTCTGGGTATGTGTTTGATGAAGTAACAATATTGTAACATGACTAAAAGTAATATAGATACCTTTAGACAGTGATAAAAACAACTCATTTAACATATGAACATTTCTGCTTGGCAGGGCTAAGTTGGGACACGGGCTTCTCTCAGGCCAGTACTCCAAACCACCAGTGAAATCTGAGCTCATTGAACAGGTGATGAAAGAAGAATACAAGGTATTAAACTGGGTATGTCCTGCTTCTGAATGCGGTCATAACCAAACAATATGTTTGGTGGGAGTTTTGTTTAGAGCTTGAGCTTTAAGCACTTTTATAAATGCTTTTTAAATAGAATAAAGCTTCAGAGGAGGATGGACTGATTTGCTTTTTGTCTTCTAATGAAAATTAACTAATAACTTTGCAGTCTCATTAAAGTCTCACAAGGGTAATTAATAGAGTAGAGCCGTGAGCCTGCTCTTCCCTGTTGTCTGATAATGAGATACATATTGACAGCTGCTGTTGAGTGGATTGGCATGCAATGTTCTGGGAAATAACTGTATCCCAATTACAAATCCTAATTTAAACAAGACATCCTCCTCTTATGTTATTTGTATGAAGTTTGGGAATTACCTGTAGTTTATTCACATGAGCGTACATAGTCACCTATCCGCTTGTGCATGGAGTTTCTGTAAATTGTGTTTTTTACTGCGTGCATGTTTTACTCTAATTTTCATATAAAGACAGCACTTTTGATCATTATTATTTTATTAACAGTTGCAACAGAAAGGCATCTCCCCTCGGATGCTCAAATCCTTGGTCAGCAGAGGTCATCCAGAGTTCTTGTCCAACAGACAACAAGATGCACATGAGTTCTTTTTGCACCTCGTCAATTTTGTGGAGGTCAGTGAAGCTGTTTATAGTTAATACAATGTAATCTCTTACTTAAAATAATTGGCCACTACTACACTGAATACATAATCATTTTCTGTACATTCAAATACTCACATAGACTAAGACAGACCCCAATAAAGATAATTGTACATTATGAAATATGTGCATTCTGTGTTTTTGGCATATCTTGTATTTCATTCAGTCCAAATAATTTTAACTATTTACAAACATAAGCATGTGTTCTCTTTGCTATTACTATTTTATTAATTATCTTTTAGTAATATCAATGAACAGCAAATTGATAACCAAAATAACTGTTGCTGCCCTATAAAACATATCTTATATATCACGTGAAAATTTTCCGTATTGTGGTTAATATTTCCTTTTGCTGTCTTTATTTTATTTTGAAATTTAATTGTATTGTTCATAGTCCAATGTAACATTTTCCCAGGTATATTCAATCTGTATTGAATTCAGCTTGGTCTGGCACATGGGTGCAAGAAGTTCTCCCTGCACTGTCCAGTCTATGCTATCTTTTTAGGTATTTTTAGCTCAGTGCTATCTATTACACTGGAAGGCCAGATAATGCTTCCTATTCTGCTTCAGCCACAGCAGACATGTCCTTACCCCAGCTGCCACTAGAAATTGTGATCAAATCTTTACATTTTCCCTGTACTCACTCACACAACCTTATTCACTGTGGTAAAACTAAATCTTTAATGGTTCCCCCTTCCTTCAGGTTACCCGCCCCTCTCTGCAGCTGTCCTAAACATATTTAGTAAGGCGGTCAAAGAGTGAACATGTCTGAACCCAGACGCATCAGCAACGTTTTCCTCTCTGTGTCAGCATGGATACTTTTATCACTTGTGTATTTGTGTCACTGCTTAGAATAGAAAGTTGGGTAGCTGGAGGGTGCGGGCCTAAACATATATATTGTAATATAATAACTTCTCTGATAGAAACAGGACATTATTTGGTTATTTATTCTTTATTCTGTATAAAGTCTGAAAGTCTGAATCCTTCTTATCTATCATTTTGCAGAGAAATAGTGGTGGCTCAGAGAATCCCAGTGACGTGTTTCGGTTCTTGGTGGAGGACCGGGTTCAGTGTTGCCAAACACGGCGCGTGCGTTACACTCAGAGGGTCGATTACTGCATCCAGCTGCCCGCCCCTATCGAAGCTGCCTCAAACCGAGGTAAGTGCGCCCACATGAGGCTGAGAGCAACAACTGCCCCATGCAAGGGCTGCCTTGCCGTCAGGAGCAGGGCTGTCCTGCCAACAGGAGCAGGGCTCAGGGGATGCCTCAGGGAGTACCAGCAGGGTCCCTAAATCTGCAGGCATCAGACTGAGAACTATAAAGAACAAACTCACACTGTTCTAGGATTTGTTGTGTTTGACATTCAACGTACTGAGGTCCAAGCTGCAGCATTCATACAATGTGCCATAATGTGTTAACTAACAAGAAAGTTGTTAAAAGCTATGTTTTAGAACTTATATTATTTAATATCTTTAATTTACACTTTCAGAGGAACTACTAGCATATGAAGCCAAGCGAAAAGAGGCAGAGGAAAATATGCGCCCTCCTCCTGAACCGGTGCGAGCACGCATCCCCTTCACAGCCTGTCTGCAGGCCTTCACAGAACCAGAGAATGTCCCAGACTTCTGGAGCTCAGCACTACAGGCCAAATCAGCTGGTGTCAAGTAGGACAAGTTTACATTAATTTATTCATTTTGTTCTCTGTTAGCTAGAAATTACTCAGTTAATGCTATGTATTTGTTTCTTTCTGATTTTTTTGCAGGACCTCTCGGTTTGCTTCTTTTCCAGAATATTTGGTTTTACAAATTAAGAAATTCACATTTGGTGTTGACTGGGTACCAAAGAAACTAGGTATAGTAACCACATTGTAACCTAAATGCATGATAGAGAACCACATGAAATAACAAGCATGTTTTCCTGTAGTATCAGAAATGTCCATACGAGGGCAACATTCACCCACAGCTTACATGCATGCTGACAGCCATTATTGTAAGGTGCTTTTTGTTATGAGTGAGTTATGCGTTTCTTGCAAGGTCCTTTTAAAATTAATTGAAATCTAACTACTGTAAAAGCATCTGAATTTGATGAAATATAGTTAATCAGTATGTTGTTATTGCACACAGATTTGGCTATAGATGTTCCTGATTTCCTGGACTTGAGTCGGTTGCGGGCCACTGGACTCCAGGCCGGAGAGGAGGAGCTTCCTGACCTCATGCCTCCTATTGTTCTACCTGAAGATACTAGAGGTACATTTGATTTCTGATGCTTATTAAATCAAACAACATCATTAACCACAGGCTAATTTGTTTGTCCAACTAAAAGTAAATTGGGCTGTATTCCCTAGTCTCATGCATGACTCACCTACAGTAGCCCACAGGGATGTTTGCATTCATGCACGAAAAAAGAAAAAAAATGTATTTGTCACCACTGCAGGGATTTTTGGACCTTCATATTTAGGAGCACAGAGCTGTAATTAAATTTAAAGGTCAATGGTTTCCTCAAGCACCAGACATGGTTATAGATCTTGCATTTCAATTGACAATTTGGAAAATTGCGTCACAGTATAAGCAGAGGCATGCTTCATTTTAAATTGCTTTGTCTGAAGCTAGTTCTTGGTGATAGAGTTGTGTGTTTCTAAAGCAGTTTTCATCTGCAGGTGTAGCATTTTGTGAGAGTTAAATGGTCCGTGAAATTGTCTCTAATATGATATTGGGCTCAAATCTGCTTCACTTCCTTCTTGGGGCCATATTGAATAGGATCTCCGGGGAAAGACGGGCCTAAACAATTACTGGGTATATGTTGTTCACAGTGGGGTCGAGCTTAGTACAGTATACTGTACATAACAGGCAATTAGGCTTGATTAGTGAGGTTTAGTTTATGGCTGTAAACATATGTTAACTTCAATTGAGCCCTATGGGAAAAGTTTTACTGGAGATACAGAAGGCAGCAAATATATATAGCAAGGTATATGACGATATGTATTAAAGGGAAAAAAAAAACAAATCAAAGGGTGGCTATTTTATTTTAAGGATTTTAATATAAAATATAAACAAATATATTTAGAACAGTTATTTAACTTTTTTTCTTGGCTGCCTAATTTCATACATCTTCCTTTATATATTTGTATAAAATAGTAAAAATAAAGATAAATAATGATGATGTTCCCAAACTTTTAACTGGTAGTGTAATGCAAAGATCAAAAATGAAAAAATGAAAACCAGTTAATCAGGCCTTACTAGTTGAAAATGTTCACCACTTATTTAACCACAGCAATGATATTAGAATCCAGTGTTGTGCATGAACGAGTTCAAAAGAACGCGTTCATTGAACACGTTCATTTTTCAGTGAACTTTGAACTGAACGCAACACTTTTGTAAATCAAGAACTTGAACGTGAATTTGTTCAAATTATGTGTGATGAACGACGTACGTCACTGTTGGGGTTTAGTTAAACGTCGGAATTTGTTTTCACCTGACGAGTGACGATCTGCTCGCACTTCACCTCGCGAAACCACAGCCGCGTGTCAACGCGAAGGCGACTCCACCGGCAGCTTTAGCGGAACGTACGGGCTCTTGTGTCTCTCAATGAGAAAGTCAATCAAACTTGACTGGGCGCGTTTAGCTGCTTGTATTTACCTTCTGTACAGGCTGACCACGGCAAACGCAAGGATTTCAAAAGTAAATTTCAAAGCACTAATTAACAGTCTGTGTGGATCTGGGCTCTTTCACATGATACACAACTGCCCAGGGAGCACAATGTGCTGATGGTAAATACACAAATACAACAACAGATACATGCTCGCTGTGCATTTTGACGGGGATACGCGCCTACGCTCGTGTAGAGCGTCAAAAAATAGAATGGATCCTATTTTCTGAAATCTACACGTATTATTTTACTTGGTACATATGTCAGTAACGCGCGTCACAATGCTTTTTTAACCTGGATTGAAATGGTGGGTTTTTCGTTTTTCTTCATACAAATTTGCTAAAATCACCGCGATATCAGCAGCGGTGAAACGCCGGAGGTTCGCCCGCGTAGACCGTGAAAGGACCGACGCAGAAGTCCGCGCTCCACCGAGCTAAACGCAGCTGACGCCCGATCGCACTCGGGGTTCTCTCAGGGGCGGTCCTAGATTCCAAGTTCTAGTCCAGGATTAGTTCTGGTTTAGACCTGGTTTAGTCCTGGTTCAGTCCTGGTTCAATCCTGGTTTAGACCTGGTTCAATTCTGGTTCAGTCCTGGTTTAGACCTGGTTCAATTCTGGTTCAGTCCTGGTTTAGTCTTGGTTTATTCCTGGTTCAGTCCTGGTTCAGTCCTGGTTCAGTTCTGGTTTAGTCCTGGTTTAGACCTGGTTTAGACCTGGTTTAGTCCTGGTTTAGACCTGGTTCAGCTCTGGTTTAGTCCTGGTTTGGACCTGGTTCAGTTCTGGTTTAGTCCTGGTTTAGACCTGGTTTAGACCTGGTTTAGTCCTGGTTCAGTCCATATACGGCGCAAAAGTTCAGCATCTTAACAGTTCTTTTGGTGAGAGTAAATTAAAAGTGCTGCAATAGTCGTGTAATGTTTTACATTTTAAATACAGTAATATTGTAATGAAACAAATGACTTTTAAATGACAGTAACAAGGTCATAAATAACACATTACAGTTTTAAAGTCACTTGTCCAACAGTGTATCTTGTAAAGTTGTTGTTGTAAAGTTGTTGTAAACTAGAAGTCAGTTTGAAAAATAAAAGCAGCCTTTCATTTACAGATCTCATCTAAATATAAAATGAACTGAACTTTGAACTAGTTCAAAATTAAAATTGTGAACTATGAACGTGAACTATTCACTTTGAACAAGTGTGAACTGAACTTTGAACTAGTTCATGAAAAGTGTGAACTTGCACAACACTGTTAGAATCACAACAACAAGAGGACATATTTTATTCACATACAATAGGTCATTGCCGGTGATTACAAATGGAGCTGTCAATCAGAAAAAAAAAACTATACAGTTTAGCTTCCAAAGTATATAAAGATAACATTAAACAATGAATAATATACAACAGTGGGTAAACATGCTCAATTTAACCTTGCCAGTCCTAAAACAGTAAAACCAATAAAGTCAAATAAAAGCAAACCCATAAAATAGCCATAAATAAATAAAATCAATAAAATAATATTTTTTTAAATTAGCGTATGTTACAACTCTTGCCTTACTCAATTGATAAAGCATCCTAAAACTGTTAAAACTTTTCAGACCATGATGAGTTGTTCAGTTGTCAGGGTTAAGTAAGTTTCTGGGTGACAAGTTTCCAAAATCAGGCTTGTCACAGTGTAAACAGAAGTGCAGTTGTGATTGCTGATGTGTGAAACGGTGAGGACCACTTGTCTCGCCGCGGGGTGGTGACGAGGCACAAGCAATTTGTTTTCCTCAGCACTCACCTGTAAAAGAAAGTCTTCTAAGAGTAATGATCATTTTTCTTCTATTTCAGATAACTCCATGAGCTCCGTAGACTGTAAGTACTTTTTTAAGTTATGTAGTGTGTTTAAATATGTTGTTTGTGCATAAATTACATATTTTTAGCGCAGGGGAGAGGTGATTAATGCTACAGACGACTGAG